GCGTGAGGAAGGATTAGCACCCCCACAAACGACCAAAAATTGGTACCTAGTTGATTATCCTATATTTAAAATTAAAAATTTTGATTTCGGACTTTATCTAATTTAAAAATCATTACGGATGCAAAGTAGAAAAGGGTATTCGTTTATTAATGTCAATAGCATTCGCCCCTAGCATAAATGTAGGGGATCAACTATTGTGCTTAAGAATCGGACATTGCCCTAATTTTAGAAATCATGATGTGGTCTTGAAAAGGATGTTGACCTATTTCGGGAATCACCAATAGTCACCCCTTGGGCATACTTGTGAGAGATATACTATCGAATCCCTAATAAGTGAACATTGTCTTAAATTTTAAAATAAAATGCAATCAAATAAATTTTTATTAATCCTAATTAAACTAAGGATATATTAAGGTTTTCTCTAGCTTACAGTGTCAAATTATGAAAATTAAAGAACCTAGAGGCATAAGCCTAAAAAAGTAGTATTTAATATTAACCCTATTTGATTTTAATCAGTTATCAAATCGAATAATTGAGATGGTCACTTGTGCATTTAGGCGAGGGTCAACTCAAATTATTCCTTAAATTAAAAGGACTAATTTGAAATCTAACTAAAGTGGAGGTTCCAATATTAACTTAAATTAATTTTAATCAATATTGCAATTTGAAAAATTAAAGTGGAACCTCAAGCAAAAGCGAGGACCAAATTAAGAATTCTCTTAATTTAATAACTAAATATGAATCAAATAATTAAAAGATTACGGACTAAATCTAAAAAAGGTGATCCATCAAGGACTACAAGGATATAAATATTACAAAAATTAAAAAAATATATAAAAGGACTAAAATCAAAGTACAAAAAATTGAAAGATAAAAATAAAATAAAAAATATTAAATTAAAGTAATAAAATTAAAGGATTGAAATTAAATAAATAAAAAGTAAAGGGCAGAAATTTAAATCTGCATAAAATTAAATAACAAAAGTAAAGGAGAAATAAAAATAAATGTTAGCATTAATTTTTAATATTTAATCCGTACCGTAAATAATGTGATTCGTACCCCGGGGCGGGTCGTCGCAAGGTCGTACGATATTTTGAACATAAAATAAATAAATAAGTAAATCAATAAAAAAATAGTGGTTAGTGGTTAGCGGTTAGAAAAGTTAGCTGTTAGAAAAGTTAGTGGTTAATGGTTAGCAGTTAGAAATTAGCGATTAGTGTTAGAAATGTTAGTAGAGTACGAACCATAATAATGCTGGTCGTACCCTAGATCGGGTCATCGCAAGGTCGTATAATAATTCAAACAAATTAATAAAAAGAAGTTAGAGTTAGAAATTAGTAAAGTTCGGATATTAATAATGCCAGTCATACCCCGGATCGGGTCACCACAAGAACGAATCAAACATCAAATAAATTAACTAAACAATGATTAAAATACAATAAAATAAAGAGTGAATGGTTAATTCGAAATAATGAAAGAAGCATAACAAGTGACCATATTGTAAATAAGCATAATAGTGTATCGAAATTAAAATAAACAAAATGTAAATAAAAGGGTCAATATAAATAAACAAAAGCATCACATCAAAATTAAAATAAATAAAATGCAAACATGTGACCAGAATGTAAAATAGTGAAATTAATATGCGAAAATCAAAATAAATAAAATTTGATGACTAAAATACAAAAATAGGGCAACACTTGGGGGACTAAGAAATGATTTATCACTTTTTTAACTTTAATAATACCTAATAAAACAAAAAGGAAAAATAGCTTGATCAGACCCTAACAAATCAAAATAAAGTTAAAATAACTCATAATCAGTGACTAAGATGCAAATATGTGACCAAATTTGGAGGACATAGACGCGATTTGACCCTAAACTTTAATATAAACCTAAAAAACATAAACTAATCTAAACTAAACCCATCAGCCTCCTTTATCTCCTCATTATCTTCCTCTCCACTGTGCGGCGCAAAACTCCCCCCAACTCTCACGAACGGCACCTCCCCAAGGACCAAGGGCCTCCAACGCCGGCCACCCTGAAACGGTGGCCACTCCGACTCTAATCGACCCCAAACACGACCCAAAAATGCGACCAAAGGCTTTTAAATGGACCAAACCAATCTCCCATTTTTTATTTTCATCGAACCTAACCTCTCACAAAATAAGAGGACACTACACCGGCCACCACAAACGGTGGTCGACCGAAGCAAAACCCGACAAGAACCTAAACTATACACTCCTTTTTACTCCTAACACCTAAAATTGAACCCCCCATAACCAACATTCATCCAAAACCTAGCCTCAAGAGGACTCGACCTCTCATTCCCCGACACCGGCAATTAGCGCGTGCTCCGACTAGGAGCTCGAACGCTGAAGGTAACCGACCTCCCTCCATTCCTTTCTACTTAATATTGTTTTGAAAAAAGTTGCTGGAAAGAAAAAAATGGAAAAAAAAGGAAGCCTTCATTTCTTGTTTCCTTGGGTTTTTATAACCCATATTACATGTAAAATAAAGGAAATTTTTTTACTGATGTTGTTGCTTGCTGTTGATGGAGTGATGGTGGTGACGTGGAGTGTTGGAGTAGATGTGGAGATTTGGTGCAGCTGCCACCAGGCAGCGGGGCACAGGTGGCAGGGTATAGTTGTAATGATTTGCATTTTAAATTAATTTTTTTTAGATAAAATTGATGATTGCAATGTCCTTGATCTTATTGATCATCCCTTCGTTTTCGTCATCTTCGTGATATATGCGATCCTTTTCCCCTTCCTCTCGTCATCGCCATCGCCTCCCATCATGTCCTTCACCTTATCTAATATTCTCGACATTGTTTTCCTTTTCTGATTTTTTTAGTCTACTTTTTATATTGCAATGGAAAAAATATGAAGTTATGGGATTGCTATTTATACATTTGCGTTTACCAAGCAAATTACTTTATTGTCCTCATTACGTGTATACTGTGGATTTCCACTTTGCCTAATTTGGTTAACTTTTAGAGGACAAAAATGAGGAAAGAACTAAAATTAAGCCCTTGCTTTCGTTGGACGTCTTTTATTTTATTTTTTTAATTTAGATTGACATAAATTAAATTTCTAATTTAAGAGTAAATTATTTGATTGATCACTTTGTTTTCGTATTTATATAATTTATTTATATAATTTAAAAAATATATTTTAGTTACTTGCGTTAATAATTTATTAAATTTTGGTCATTTATTTTATCAACAATTATATTTTGACCATTGAGTCGTTGATTTATATTGGTTTGATGTGACATATTAGTACAAGAGATTAATTTTGAATTTGATCATTCAACTTTAGATAGAATATTAATTTAACCTTCGAACTTCAGATGAAATGTCATTTTGCACTCCAAACTTTAGATAGAATATCAATTTAACTCGAATTAAATCAAAATCTCCCACGGTCGGTCGCCACTTACTATTATTGTTGTCGGTTAGCACTGGCTACCATTATTGATGAATGTTGGACCCTAAAATTTCTAGTTTATTCATTTTAACCTTATAAGTGCAAATTTGATATTAGTTTCAATAAAAAAAATGCTCTGAACTCAACAAATCTAATTTAAAATCTTTCGACTTCCTTTAAAATAAAATAATAATAATTAATTTATCATTAATGTTCTTCTAAAAATAAGACCCCCAAAATTTAAATATATCTCATAATAATTCATAATTTCTTCTTTAATATCGTTCTGTTATAATTTTTAGTTATTTTGCGATATTAATTATAAGTTTTTTAATATTTACAAATTATAATACCGATTTTATAATTTTTTTAATATTTAAACTAATAGCATAATTTATAGTCTTTTATATATATATATATATTTCGTTAGATATTATGTATGACAAGTGCTCAATATTTTAATAAACAAATAAATTAAAAACTTTAGCTCCTAAAAATGAGTCAAATTTATGATTGCGAATTAATTTACTTTATTTTAGAATTAGATTTAAATTAATTAACAAAAATTATTATGAGAATTTGTATTATTTGTTTCTCTTTTTCTTTAGTCGTTGTTAGTCTTTTTTTTCATTTTTGTGATCAACGAAGATACCAACCTTAATGTTAATCATCGACAGCCTATATTCATTATTTTTCTTTTACTTTATTATAGCGTATTTTTTTAAGATTAGATTTAACATTACAACGATTAATCAATATGACACTTATTTTATTATCATGTTATTTTTTATGCTTTATACCCTCATATGGATTTGAATATATCATTTACATTCATGAATAGTATTTTCACCTCTAGTTGAATTCTATTTTACAATTTGTGAATTAGAACGAAATTACAGTCAATGGCAGAGCAACCCTTCCCTTAAGGGGTAGATGTGACACCTCAAATTTTTTATAAATTATATATATATATATATATAATATTTTAAAAATTAACATTACTTTAAAAAGAATATTAACACACTATTTTAAAAATAATAGACATCACTAAAAGAATAACTCATAAAAATCTTTTTATAAAATCTTTTTAATTGGGTAACCTACACGTTCAATATCTAAACTATTACTTTTATTCTATTTTAATATCTAAACTTTATTTTTTTTTTCAAAATCATACATAACATTTACCTTCATATTTCTTTTAAATACCTTGTCCTTAGAAATATAACAATAATGTTGACGTATCACCATAAGTTAATGTCGCATTATCACTGAAAAAAGTAAAAAAAAATGCAACATCAACAATTATGTTAATATATTTAACGAGCACCCAATTAAAACCTAAACTAAGAGTTAGATATGATAATTTTAAAACGAGCACCAAATTGAAGCCTAAACTAAAAATTAGAAATAATTTTTAAAAAATAAAGTTTGGGTAACAAAATGGAACAAAAATAATAGTTTAGGTACTAAACATGTAGTTTACCCTTTTTAAATTAAAATATCGTGATATAATTTTTTTTTTGAAAATTTGTAATTTCCATCGGATCCAATAACAGAAGGCATATTTTGAAGTGGGTTTCTAACTAAAACTGAAGTGCTTACAAGGAGTGTTTCCTTAAGAAGTGATTAGATCTTCATATTAACAATCTATAATCAACAACTTTCTCTTCAAAGCAAGTTTGAAATGGCACCATCCATTTTTGTCATCTGTTCTTGTATCATAGCTCTGCACATTAATAAAACCTGAGCTATTTGCCTTCTTAACATGATCGCAGATCCAGAAAAACAAACCTTTGTGCTGAATATGGGAAAAACGAGAGTAAATCACCGGGTCCATTTCCAGAAGAAATACACACTGACAACTGTCAAAATCATCCCCACATATTTGATCCATGTATCAACACGGTTCCTTCTCTCGATGAGCCTCAGCACGGAGTTGGAGAGCCCCACTGTGTTTAGTACATCCAAGGCCTTTCGTTGTGCTCTCTGAACAAAAGGCCAAGATGGTTCAAAAGCTTAATCGTTGTCACAACTTGCAATAATATCAAATAGCATCAGCCACCATTTTCTTGTTTCAAGCATGCGACTATAGCTATCAACAATTTACGAGTAACCACTTTAGTTACACCACGAGAGAATCTATATTGTTAAGAAGATATTAACAAGCACACGAGAAGAAAGAGCTATTTCAAGTAAAATGAAAGTCAGAGCAACCATGCTATATTACTAGGAACTCGAGTGTGCAGGTTGGATATCTATATATGTTCGACATGGTTATGTTGTCGAACATGTTCAATCCTTATATTTGGAGTCTTTGGAGGATTCATATATCCATACCAATGTCCAGATAAGCGTTAGACATATAAATGTAAGAAAGAGCCATTTCAAGGAAAATGAAAGTCAGAGCAACCATGCTAATATAAGGCAGTACTTCCTCACGAGCTATAGTTCCTAATTAGGGGTGACAGAGAGAAGAAACCCAAGTTAACAAAAACCACTACCATTAATAAAACCAATTGTGACAATAGCATTTGTTAAATCTGTTTGATCTGCTGTGAAATTAACCGCATCTGTTAACTTTTCATTTAAATTATTTAACTAGAAATGCATCGGCAAAGGGCCTAATTTGTTTGTACCTTGAGACGATCTCTTTGTTCTGCATATTTGGAAAGGATGGCTGTTCCAGTTTCAAAGGATTCTTGCAACATTCTTGAAGAGTTTCGAACTGATTGCATTGCTTGTGCTTCCTCATTGAAAATTCTCAGGACATGAGCCGACTCTCCATTCTAAGAAAATAACGTAAAATGAATTCAAGACATGCTAATCAGCCCCATTTACCAACAAAAAGGAAAAGATTTACATACAGCTCTTCCTAGCAATTCAGTTCTCTCTTTTGTTTCCAACATCCGTTTCTGATTCCTCATGAAATACTTGTCTAGACTATCTTTCAAAGAGTCAGCCTCTTCAGCCACTTGTTCAACTTTTCTGTTTGCCAAATATAAATAACCTCAAGGTGTAAGACATTAAGGCAATAAAACTAACATGATTGCTGCAGATTGGAACTGTTGTCATAATTATGCTTCCATTGGTAATGATAGACCATGGATTATGTGGAGAAAACATTTGCAGTTTTCTGTCTTGCAGGAGGCTAATCAATCCATTTCTATTGAGGGTGTTATTGATGGCTGTAGGACTGTTATTACTGCTGTTTATGGGAGTAATAATGGGGTGGAAAGGAAGGATTTGTGGATTCAATTAAAGAGTTTAGAGGCTCTTGTTGGGGATGCCTCTTGGGTGATTGGGGGGATTTTAATATTATTGCCCAGGAGGAGGAAAGCTCTGATTTTGATTTGTTGGGGCCTTATTCTTTGGCAGATATGGTTGATTTTCAGAATTGCTTGGGTGATGTGGGGTTGTATGGATCATCCTTATGTTGGTGCTATGTTTACTTGGTCGAATAAGCAAGAGGGGAGGTTTTTAGCTCGCAAATTGGATAGAGTTCTTATTAATTCCCGTTGTTTGCATGATTTTCCGGATTCCTTTGTTAAGTTTAGACCTCAGGGGTTTCCGATCATTGCCCTGCTTTGTTGTGGGTTAAGAAGGAGAACAAAGCTACTCGACCAAAGCCTTTAAAGTTCTTCAATTTTTGGACTTCTCATGCGATTTTAGGAGTATTGTTCAAAGTTCTTGGCAAGAGGAGGCTTATGGTAATGCAATGCAAAGGTTGTTTGCTAAATGAAACGGTTAAAGCCTAGGTTGAAGGAGCTTAACAAGAGTTATTATGAGGATATTTCAAGGAGAGTGGCCATCAAGCGAGAGCAGCTTGAGCAGGTTCAGCTATTTAATTTGGCTCATGTTGATCAAAGAGATGTGCAAGCTGAGTTGAGGGTGCAGGCTGAGTTATTGGAATTGGAAGCTGCTGAAACTGCTTTCTATAGGAAGAAAGCTAAAATTGCTTGGCTGAAGGAAGGTGACATGGGTACGAGGTTTTTTCACTTGGCAGTGATGGAGAATAAAAAGAAGAACACTACAAGGCTCCTTAAGGATGGAAATGGGAATAGATTAGAAACGTTTGAAGCAATGTCGCAGAAATGGTTAGGTTCTATTCTGAGTTGATTGGTTCGTCTGATGTCAATGTTAAGAATTATCCTGTGGAGTATCTTAAGGATCTGCTGCAGTACACTTTGCCTGCTGGGGCTGAAAATTATTTGGTGCGAGATATTACTGAGGTTGAAATTAAGGATGCCTTATTTAGGCAGGGGAACGATAAGAGTCCGGGGCCGGATGGTTACACGGCTTGGTTCTTTAAATTTGCCTGGGATATTGTTGGTAGGGATTTCATGGCTGCTGTGAAGTTTTGTTTTACAATCTACTTTGTTACTGGCTGCTTTTAATGCGACAACAATTGTTTTTGTTCCCAAAAGTCCAAACTCTTGCATGGCTAAGGAGTTTTGGCCGATCTCCAGTTGCTTGGTGATCTACAAAACCATCACAAGGATCCTGGTCAGTAGGCTTGCGAGTTACTTCCCTGAGATGATTTCCACTAGCCAGTCTGCTTTCATTAAAGGGAGAAGCATTGTGGATAACACCTTGCTTGCCCAGGAGCTGGTTCGAGGCTATGCTAGGAGGTCTTTTTCTCCTAGGTGTGCTATCTAAATCAATTTGCAGAAGGCCTTTGACTCGGTTGATTGGAGTTTCTTGTTGAATGTTTTGGAGACCATGGGGCTGCCTGCTGTGTTTCGAGGTTGGATTGGCACTTGTGTTACTTCTTCTAAGTTCTCTGTTTCCTTTAACGGTACCTTGGTGGGTTACTTTGCGGGGGTGAGAGGTGTGAGGAGGGGTGACCCTTTGTCACCGTACCTCTTTGTGACACTGCTGCATTGAATGGTGTTTTTCATTTTCATCCTAAATGCAGGAAAGTTCCCTTAACTCACCTGTGCTTTGCTGACGATTTACTTATCTTTCGTCATGGATCTGTTAATTCGGTTTTTGGTGTTTTGAGTGTTTTGGATCAGTTTTATGAGATGTCAGGCCTGAAGTTAAATGCTGCAAAAACGGAGTTTTTTGCTTGTGGTATGGATGATGGTGTGATTAATGTGATTCATGCTGTTACTGGCTTCCGGCTAGGGCAGCTTCCTGTTCGGTATTTGGGGGTGCCGTTAGTGACTAGGAAATTGACTGAGCATGATTGCATTCCTTTATTGGAAAAGATTAGGATGAAGCTTGGGATTTGGTCGAGGCGTAACTTGAGTTATGGTGGTCGTTTACAGCTTATCAAGGCTGTTTTGTATAGCATCTCTAATTTTTGGTGTAGGTAGCTGATTTTGCCTAAGGCTGTTATCCAAAAGGTCGACCAGCTTTGTCTGCGATTCTTTTGGAAGGGTGCGGATGTTCCTGCTGCAGGGGCGTGGGTGAGCTGGCATCAGATTTGTTCTTTGCAGTCCGAGGGTGGTTTGGGCCTCAAAAGTATTTTGTGTTGGAATAGAGCTTGTAGCCTTCTTCTTGTGAGGAATATTTTGGCTAATGAAGGCTCTCTTTGGGTGGCATGGATTGAAGAGTATGCCTTTAAAGGAACGAGGTTTTGGCAGGTGGAAAGCAAGTTCCACTTCAGTTGGATTTTGCGGAAGCTGCTGAAGTTGAGAGCTGAGGCGCGGAGTTTGTTTGGGGATGGAACGAACTGGAACTTGGTGAATAGTGGTTGGATTTGGGATAATATTTAGGGAGAAGAAGGTTAAGGTGCATTGGCAGAAGCTTACCTGGTTCCCACAGCATGTTCCTAAACACACTATTATTGCTTGGATGGTGATTCTTGATCGGTTACCTACTAAAGAAAGACTTGCTCGAATATGGATGAGTACTGATGATGTGTGTGTTCTTTGTGGGGATGCTATGGAGTCGAGGAATCACTTGTTTGCAGATTGCTCTTTTGCTCGTGGTGTTTGGAGTGGTGTCATGCATGCATGTCAGTTGCAGCATAGGATGATGAGTTGGAATGATATGCTGCAGTGGGTTGTTACTTCTTTGAGGGGTAAGACTTTAATTGTCGCATTCTTAAACTTGCGTGGTCTAGTTTCTTATATTGTATTTGGGTGGAACATAATAACAGGTTGTTTAGAGGAAGTGAAAACGGAATTGTTGATATTATTGATTGCATTAAGGAGATTGTTGGGGTTAGATTGGCTAATTGTAGTGTCAATAGGCTAGATGGGGTTAATTTCCAGCTGTGCTCTGCTTGGCAGATTGTTTGAGTGATTTGCTCTTTTGGTTCTACTGTAACAGCCTGGTGTTTTCTTTGGATAATATATGAGATGAACTACTTATCCAAAAAAAAACTAACATGAGTACCATAACACTGGGCATGATAAGTGAAAATCACAAAAGCAGCTCTAACTCTTTCCAAAATTCACCAGAGAAAGGCACATTATGTAACCCAGAAAAGAAAAAAAATAATCTAACAAGTATGCTTACAACTAAGGGAAGTTTTTTTGTCAAACTAAAATTATTTTACAATTTAACAGAGCAGTTAGACTACTACTAAAGAAGCTTAGTCATTCGAGCCTTGAGTTCCAAATAGTTTTCCTTCAAAATGTAAACCTGTTGCTTTCTTTTTACAGGACAACTTTTAAATGTTCGCTCTCTTTAAGATGTGTTAGTTTGCTCACAACCCACTGCTTGAGATTTGAGTCTAAGATCTATAATGCAAGCATGAAATTTGATGTCTAGTGAACCTGCAAAGCTACCGTCAACAGCAATTTATTACTCTTAGAATCATTTGCAAGTTGCACACCATGGTCTTACTGAAATTTGCTTAAAGTCACCCAGAATATCAATTGAACCATCCCTAAGTTAAACTTAATCACAGGGCTTCTCACCATCATCAATCTATTCGTACGGATAATTGACAACTTGACTACAAGCTAAACACACCCACTCCCACCTCTCGTGCATAATAATCAAAGATAAGTGGAGATAAAATGTGTAGTACAACTACAGCTAAAATATAATGTGGTTATGTTACAAGAATCTAAAGCTAATTCAATTCCTGTTTCTGTTGAGAGAAGGCTAAAAGGTAAATTAAATAGGGATATGATCTTCGCGCCTGTTGAAGGTGCTTCGGGTGGTTTGATTACTCTGTGGGATAGTAGTGTGTTTAGTGCTTCTTGTCAAATAATTCTTAGGAGAATTGTAGCATTGAAAGGTATGCTAGTTCAGAATAGCATGGAAATAGGCATAATTAACGTCTACCATCCGATTGCGTATGGAGAAAGAATGGTTTTTTTATCAGTTGAATGATGTTATTGAAAATTTGAAGATGTTGATTATTGTGGGAGGAGATTTTAATACTACGAGGTCGGATTCGGAAAGAACAGGTGGTCACGATATATCAAATTCAATGTCAATTTTTGAAAATTTTATATCCAAATGGGAATTGAGTGATGTTCCAATTTCTGGTAGTGTGTTGGTTTTGGGGAGGTTTGAATATGGCTGTGAGTAGACCAGACAGATTTTTAATCTCAACTGAAATAGCATGCTTATTTCCAAATTTGATGCAATTGACCCTTCCTAGAAGCTTATCTGATCATAAACCTGTCGTATTAAGAGGTAAGAAGCTAAAAAAGGTTTGTAGGCCATTCAAACGGTTTAACCATTGGGCGGATGATCCTACTTTCTTCGATAGGATTAAAGGGGTTTGTGATGCTAACAAAGGCAAAGGTGTGAATCTTGTACTAATGACAGCAAAGTCTGTGACTAAGGACTGGGAAAGAGTAATCTGCGTGAATAAGAATGATTCGGTTGTAGAGATCGGGAAGAAAATTGAAACATTAGAGAACTTGTGCATTCTGAATCCTAGCAATAGCTCAGTCCAATCCGAGCTCGTGTCATTGAAGGCTAGGTTATGGGCAGTGTTGAGGAAGGAAGAAAGAGAATGGTTGCAAAAGTCAAGACTCAAGTGGTTCAAAGAAGGTGATAAAAATACTAAATTCTTTCATATAATTGTAGCGTTAAGAGGACGTGCGAATCATATTTCGACATTGAAAGTGCATAATTCGATCTACAAATATTAATCGAGGATTCAAAAAGCTTTCGTAAATTATTTTCGAGGTAGTTATAATGATGTGAAAACACTTCTGGTGAATAGGTCTGAGGTTCAGCTTAAAATAATAAGTGTTGCCACTAGAAGGTTTATCGAAAGTCCTTTCTCTAAAGAAGAGGTTTGACTCACAATTAAATCGTCGGATGGATCCAGAGCCCCAGGTTCGAATGGCTTTAGCTTGGACTTCTTCATGAAATTTTGGAAGTTCATAAAAGTAGATGTCATGAATTTTATGGATGAATTTTATCGGGGAAAAATTGAAGACTTTCATTCAACAAGTCATTTATTCCTCTCATCCCAAAGAAATTCGAGGCTGTTGTTCTGGAAGATTTCAGGTCTATTTCGTTGGTAGGTAGTATGTACAAGATCGTGGCTTGTGTTTTGGCGAAGAGGATGGCTAGTTGTATGGAAGAAGTGATTGGGGAGAACCAGTTTGCTTTTATGGCTGGAAAACAGATTATGGATTGTTCCCTTATTGCGAATGAAGTAGTTGATGAGCTGAGAAAAAGCAAGAAAGAAGATGTTTTGTTCAAGGCAAATTTCAGAAAAACATACAATACAGTTGATTGGAAATTTTTGAACCTAATTTTAAAGAAAATGGGCTTTGGTAGAAGATGGAGGAAATGGATTAATCTTTGTATTTCAAGACCTACGATTGTTGTTCTAGTTAATGGATGCCCTTCCAAGAGTTTTTCAATTAAGAGGGGTCTTAGACAAGGTTGTCTGTTGTCACCGTTTTTGTTTAATGTAGTTAGTGAGGCTCTTAGCGGGTTGTTAAAGAAATCGGTTTTATCTGGTTTGTGTGGAGGGGTGGTTCTCGGTTCTAGAAGCGTAGAACATCCAATTTACTGGCGATCTCATTTTCTTTTCAGAAGCAAAGGAAAACAAAATTAAAAACCTTTATCGTGTTCTTAAAATCTTTTAGGTGGCACTGGCCTAAGTTAAATATGAAGAAGACTAAGCTATTTGGGATTAACGTGGAAGATAGTAGTGTTAGAGGTTGGGCTGAATCGATTTCTTGTGGTTGGGCAAGACTACCTACCACGTATTTGGGACTTCCACTAGGGCACAAAAAGAATTCCAAATTGGTGTGGCAACCTATCATTGACAAAGTCAGAGCTCGACTTCAAAGCTGAAAAGGTAAAATGCTTTCTCTTGGGGGTAGGATTACGTTGATTAAAGTTGTTCTGGTTAACTTACCGGTGTATTACATGTCCTTATTTTTAATCCCTAAATCCATAGCCGAGATGATTAATAAACACATAGTTAGATTTCTATGGAATATAAAGTCTGACAGAGGGATTCATTGTATAAAGTGGGTTAATGTTTGTGGTCCAAAATCTCATGGGGGCTTGGGTATTTTTGATGTAAAGTCTAGGAATAGTGCTTTGTTGAATAAATGGATATGGCATTTTACTGAGGACAATGATTGTTTGTGGAAAAAAATAATAGTTGCGAGGAATAACTATGTTCTAGAATTGATTCTGCCTAAAGCTGTTAATAATCGAAAGTCTTCTTGGGTGTGGCGTGACATTGTCGACATGGCTGTTTTGAATGACGAAGGCTTCTTATCTGAGGTCAGATGTGTTATAAGTAACAGGTCCATAATTGATTTCTGGTCAGATTATTGGACTGAAGTTCATTCTTTAAAATAATCTTTCCCTAGAATATATGGAATTGCTGTAAAAAAAATCTCGTAAGATTACTGAGTTTGGGAGTTGGGTTTATGGTGTCTGGGAGTGGAAGATTGAGATGAGGCGAGGCTTATTTGTATGGGAAACGACTATTTGGAGTGAGTTCAATCAAGTTTTGGAGAGAGTTATTTGTTTTGTTCCAGGATCGGATATGATAAAGTGGATAGGCTCTTCTGATGGTAAATATAATACCAAGGATTTTTGCATAAAATTGGATTTTGTTGGTAAATTAACAGACCCAATTTGGAACCTGGTCTGGTTTAAGTATGTTCCTCTTAACGTTTCTGCCTTCGTGTGGAAAGCTATGCATCAAAGGCTGCCGGTGGTTACTGAGTTGGTTAAGCGAGGTATCATTTGCAACGATCATCATCTCTGCATCTTTTGTAAACGCAATCTGGAAGATCAAAATCACGTGCTGCTTCATTGTGATGTTATTTGGCAAGTCTAGCAATGCTGGTGTAATGTGTGGGAAGTCAATATTGTTTTTCTCATGAACGTTACTGAGTTAAAAGAGATTTGATTTTCACATAAAATGAGAAGGAAAGTTCGGGTTTTATGGCAAATTGGATTTTTCGGATTGATTTGGAATATATGGCTGTGTAGAAACAAATCAAGGTTTAATGGTAATTTTTTCACAGTGTACCAGATCTTTAATGTTGTCTTACTACATATAGGAGCTTGGGTTAATTTTTTTGTGGCCATCGAGGTTTCCATGTGTTCAGGATTTGTCCAAAGTCCGGGTTCTTTTATATATGATTGTTGTCATTGATGAGTCTTGATTTTTTGTTAGTTTTTGCTCTTTACAGTTCACACTCTGAACATGTTGGTTTCTCTGTTTCTTTTAGTCTTGTGTTAGTATTTTCGTTAAATTGTTGGGGGACCGTAAGTAAGTTCGGTTTTACTTAGTATTGGTCGGATTGAAGTTAGATGGTTTGATTGGGGTGCTCCCTGGATTGATGTAATAGATTTTATGGTCATTTGTAATCCTCCAATTCGATGTATATTCTTTTTCCTCCATATAGGTTTAAGGAGGTTTTTTAATGAGTTCCTTGGTGTGGTGTCCTTTTTGTCCTTATTTATACAAAGTACATCTCTTTTAAAAAAAAATAACTACTAAAATTTAACCAAATATGGAGGCAGGTAAGTAGGGATGGCAAACGAACGAGTCGGGTGTGGATACCCCCTCCCCCATCCCCATACTCACCTAATATTTTGCAATCCACCACCCATGATAGGTAAAAATTTTCAAATCCACACCCGCCCACGATGATACATTCTCAAATCTATCCCCACACCCACTACCCAACTGGATACGTACCCAGCTAGACCCGCCTGACAGCAAAAGTCTGTATAAACAAAAAAATTCACAGAGATACATGAATAAGGTTGCACATTGACACCCCATTTCTCATATTCAAGATTAAAAGTTGATAGGGTTTCAATTTGATCTATAAACTGG